AATAAGTGCCATTGCACATGAAATAATAAGCAAAAAATTGTTGAAAATGACATTAACTGCTAAGGACACTGAAAAAATAACACTTCTCTAAGGGACGCAATAGAAGACCCTCCTAAAATGTGTGAATGATAGGACAGAATAGAAGACCCCGGGTCTTCTAATCTGTTCAGGGCTTTATTAATTCAATCACGATCTTTTTATAGGCAATTCCTGAATGGATGGCAGTGCGTCAAAAATTGTGCAGGGCGAAAAGTTGACTTTTTATCGATGACTCATCGCTTAAAACACGTTTAAAAAACTGTATAACCCCCTCTCAAACACGTTTTGAAGAAATTGTTTAAAATAGTTTTTATTTTTTTTGTACTTACTCCGTAAAACGACACTAAACGTACGTTGAATGCAAACGTATTCGAATGCTTTTATTTTAAATACAGAAATAAACTCGGAGATGAATCATTTACTAAAAGAAAATTTTTTATTCACCAGCTAAGATAAATCACAATACATTATTGTTAGACTGAAAGAAAGAAACAGGTTTTGGACTAAATTTTATCCCATTTAATTATCGAAGTTTAATACGCGTGAAAAAAAAGTCTCTGTCAAACTTTGATAAAATATTTTGAGTCTCGAGTGAATGCCTTTTGAAATTAAAAATTGATTTCTTCTATTTGATTAACACTAGATGAATTTAATTTCAACATAAAATCTTGTAAATAAGGTATTTTATCATTTAATACACTAATGAAATTATCGGATAATGTTCTACCAAATATTTCATTCAATTTTGTTATCACATTTTTGTATGTTTCACCATTTTCAATATCTAAACAATAATGGGTCGATCAGCTATTAATAAATGATGACTAAAGATATGATATACTATAAAGTTAAGATAATTTAACTAGAAGACATTTAATGAAAATTCACATAAGCTGGTAGACATTAAAATATGCAAAAAATAAACAATTGAAGTGCATACTTACCCCTAACACCATTTTCATAATCTTGATTAAAGAGACTGTTGATATCCATTGCATTTACACTCACATTTGATTGACAAATAAACGTTTTATTAATATATGTTGATAATTGGCTAGGTGTTATAACAAAATCAATATCCACGATATCGATAGTATCATTAAATATTGTATTAATATTATATTGACCTGTGCTTATTTCAATAGTAATATTAACATAATAAGAATATCCATCTAATTGATGACGATATATGCCATTTATTGTAATAAGACTATCATTTTGTTCCAAAATTCCAGAATATTTTATCGTTTCATGATCAAATGTTCGACTTATTTTAAACCAACTTATTATCATTCTTTCTTTACCATAAAGTTTTTCCATTGTTGTTTTACAATTATTCATATATTCTATAGTACTATTTATCACACCAATAAATGAATTATTTTCTAATAAACTACCATTGAATATAGCATAAATTTGTCCATTCGAATTTTCTTCACTACATGTAAAACCTAATAGTTCCAAATGACTATTGTCATCGTTTGTACCAAACCATCCATTGAATGAAACCTGCCGATATTGAATTGTTATTGTTGTACATAATACCAATATCAAGTACAAGATAGGAACAAAAAATTTTTGCTGTTCAGAAAACATTTTAAACAAGCAAGTGAATATCTATTATTAGTGGACATATATCACCATATTTTATCATTAAATAAATATTTACCAAATTTTGATTAATTAGGTACGATTACTTGAATCTAAATGGTGTAGCCAACAATAAACAGTTTTGCAAATATATTTTATTGATTTATTCATTATTAACAAACAGATGTTTTAATCTCTCATGTACAAATGAAATGAAAAGAGTAAGTTATTGAGATTATTAAAGATATTATCAGAGCAGACGTATACATCATCGTTTTATCTGCACTTTTTGTCCATTTATTTTTTTATCAATAGAATATTCTCTTGTCTAGAGAAACAAACAGTAAAATAAAAATGAAAATAGAGATACATATTCAGTAGTAGACTACCTAAACTTTTGTTTGTTTCTTATCACACTTCGATGTACTATTAACTATATCTTTTAGAGAAAATGTAACCTAAGAGAGAGGTTATGCTACTTTTTAACGCTACCATAATCAAATTGTACAAGTATCTTTTCTCACCTTTGATTCGAAAATGTTCAAACATGAACTTATTATTTCTTTTAGATTATATAAGAGCTTCAACACTTAATATTCCTGAATTGAAAGTATTTCGTACAATTTGGAGTTCTGAACTGTTTTCATCTGATTATAACATTCTTTTGCCTGATTTATCTCGTCTAGGGTATTCAAGTAATGCAACATCTATTAGTAATATTCAACAGTTAACAGATGATTTTAAAAATGAACACAGTTTTCTTGAAACATTGAAGTAATATAAACTTGAACTGATTGGTACATGTTACACAAATTGGACAGATTTTGTATCAGAGACATGGTACGATTTGACAGGTGACGAACATCTAAAAACATTGAACAAACAACTCGATAAAGTTGTCAAATATACGTCCATACATATGAATATACATGGTGGACAAGATAATTAGACATTCGAACAACATTGTAAATTACTTAAACATGCACTTGATATACAAGCAAAATACGGTAAACTCAGCGATCAATGATAATTTTTAATTGAAAAAGTGGAGGAGTCTACCTTTACATAAAAAGTTCAAACCGAACTGTTTCGCTTAGAAACAGTTTCATCAGAAAAGATATATATGGACGATACACAGTACTCACCGTTTGTGATCGGATTTTTTACCTTTGTAGAACTGAAAAAGGCTTTTCTTTTTTTGACAATTTAATGACCAGTGAGATCATTTCCAAATAACAGAAAAGCAGCTTAAAAAGACATCAGCGGCATACGAAGCCTAGAGATTCTGGAACATGCTATGGCAATTGGTGATGTTAGTTTTCTTTGATTTTGACTTTCATAATGTGATTCTGGAAAATCTGGATTTCTGGAAGATCTTTAACGAAAAACCAAGATCTTTGAAAGATTTTCTCTAGGAAACTAAGATAGTAATTGAAATTGTGTTTGATGTTCGCTTTATACTTGGTAAACCATGTAATTTAAGCTTATAAGCATGCC